CCCTTAAAAGGCGCCCATATCCCTTAAAAAAATGGGTAACTGTTAATGGTGTTCGCTCCCTTTAAAATGCTTTATCCCTTAAGTTGGCTATGTTAAGGGATCTAAATCCACTTAAGGGGCTCTTTAGTGGCGTGTGAACGTCTTAAGTTCATTAAGAAATTGTAAGTTTAAAGAAAGTTGATTAAGTTAACTGGATCCTTCAAGAATTCCACACCCCTTAAAGGAGTTAAATTTCATCCCTAAATGGAGTTGAATTCCATCCATTAATAGAGTTGGATTCCATTAATAAATAGAGTTGAATTCCATCCATTAATGGAGTTCAATTTCATACCTTAAAGGAGTTGAATTCCATCCATTAATGGAGTTCAATTCCATCCCTTAAAGGAGTTCAATTCCATCCCTTAATGGAGTTCAATTCCATCCCTTAAAGGAGTTGAATTCCATCCATTAATAGAGTTGAATTCCATTAATTAATAGAGTTGAATTCCATTAATAGAGTTCAATTCCATCCCTTAAAGGAGTTGAATTCCATCCCGTAAAGAATCATCGGACAGTACCTCTAGGCTTCACTTGGACAGAATTAATCATCGGACAATTCGAGACAAGTCTTGGCCACAAGTCTGTAAATCTTCAAGAAGAAGATTGTAAATCGCGTTAAATCGTTGTAAATCGCGTTAAAACGGAAAACAAACAGACTCTCTTCAGCTTCAGCACGAAGAGAAAGGTAATGCTTTTGGAGAAAATTGCTTTGAAAATCGGGCTAATGCGAGCATGTTCACGGAGTGAGGTTAGGTTTCGTGGGGCCTTTCAACACGCCAACTGCACACTAAGTGACGAAATGGCATGCAACCACTCATGTGTGCCTGCATGCAAATTAGGGGCTCTCGTGTGTGTGGGGGTGGGGAGGGGGTGGGAGGGTGTGTGTGTGTGTGTGTGGTGGGTTTGTGGGTGTGTGGGTGGGTGGGTTTGTGGGTGTGTGGGTGGGTGGGTTTGTGTGTGTGTGTATGTGTGTGTGTGTGTGTGTGTGTGTGTGTGTGTGTGGTGTGTGTGTGTGGTGTGTGTGTGTGTGTGTGTGTGTGTGTGTGTGTGTGTGAGAGAGAGGGGAGGTTGTGAGAGAGAGAGAGAGAGAGAGAGAGAGGGAGAGGAGAGAGAGAGAGAGAGAGAGAGAGAGAGAGAGAGAGAGAGAGAGAGAGAGAGAGAGAGAGAGAGAGAGAGAGAGAGAGAGAAGAGGTCAAGAGAGAGAAGAGAGAGAGAGAAAATAGAGAGAGAGTATACTCGTGTCCAGTTAAACATAGGTGTGTGTCAAACACTCCCCATGCATAATACACGCACGCACAGCTTAATAGATCGATACATGCTTGGACAACGAAGTCGTATGGAGCTCACAAGGGTTGTAAATACATTGTTGAGGTTGGGAAGAGGGCTCGAACCTTGATGATTGAAGACCCTAATGCCACTACGCGAGCTATGGCTGGCGTAGCGCGCCTGTGACAGGACAGACCGATACATACACACTCTGCATACACACCTCTATACCACAATACAAAATATACGAGGTATTTTGGTAGAATTTTGGAAGCTAGTGGGCCCTTGCTTGCGTATTAGCGGATTTAATGATTTGGGGGTAATCGTGCAGCGCTTATCAAGATAAACTGTTATCTCTGGGTCACTGGAGGATAACGACTGGATGCTTGTCGCTCTGATGATGCGTGGTACAGGGATATCTGTGGTACAGAGGTACATTTGATACCAAAGGCTAAGAGGTACATTTGATACCAAAGGCTAAGAGGTACCATTGGAGACAGAGAGAGCGATACCTTTCGTGACGAAGCACATTAGATACCATAGGCTAAGAGGTACCATTGGAGTCAAGAGCCTTAGTATCTGGAAGTACATTGAGGGGGTACCTTTGATAACTAGAGGTTCAAGGGGGCACCTTTATTAACAAAGGTTACACCATATAAATACCAGTATTAAACGTGAGGTATCTTTCGCCTCACAAAAGCCTGATCCAATAACTGAAGCTGTATACTAAGACTAACAACTGCCCTAACGAGGCCCTAACAAGGCCCTAACAAGGCCCTAACGAAGCCCTAACTATGCTATCGTTAGGTAGTTCATAATTCGGTGATTTAGTGACCCCTTTGTTGTGTTAATGTGCTAAGAAACATCGTCTAACATCAGACGATGTTAGACGTCAAGTTGACATCAATGATGACAGCATTAATGATGACTCTGGATTGACGACATCAATCCAGAGTGGAAGGCCATAGGAGTGGACCGACACGGTACATCACTCCGGTTGAATAATTGATGACAATTCGGGAGACGTATGACTCCCCCAAGATCTGATGGTTGAAGTTGATCTGGTTGATTGATTGATTGATTGATTGATTGATTGATTGATTGATTGCTGACATGAGTTGATGTGGTGATTGATATGCCAGAACAATATGTATGATGGTGAATTGAATAGTGTTTGAATTGATCAGAATTGAATAAAGTACAAAATAAGGACCTGTTTACTGATCAATTGATTAATGCTAGATTGATCAGCCGTGTACTGAAAATACACTTGACTGAAAATACACTTAACTGAAAATACACTTGACTGAAAATACACTTGACTGAAAATACACTTGACTGAAAATACACTTGACTGAAAATACACTTGACTGAAAATACAGTTAAAGTGCTACAAATACAGCTAAGACTGAAAATACAATTAAAGTGCTGAAAATACAACCCAAGAATACATTAATTACCATAATTAACATTTCAGGTGCCAAGGTGTTGAAAATACAATTAAGACGGAACCTACACTTAAGGCTGAAGACACCGCAAACTATCGAGCTTAAACAAGTGATTAGTACCTAAGAGGCTAACAAGGCCATTAGCGGATTGTTAAATAATCCCTGTACCAGACTGTTGCTAAAACACATTAGTAAGATTTAGAAGGATAATTGATGTTAATTAACAGGTTAATTAACATGAAGGATGTTAATTGATGTTAATTAACACGTTAATTAATATCCTCTCACCTATCATCCTTCCTTCCGTTATATGAGGATGTTTGATATCTTACTGAGGATGTTTGATATCTAACTGAAGATGTTGATATCTAACTGAAGATGTTGATATCCAACTGAAGATGTTGATATCTAACTGA